CTTCTTTTTATTAATGTTTTTTATAAACTATAGGGAAATTCTATCTCGGAGATGGTGGGCTAATGTTACGTGCTTCGTTGTTAACACCATACAGACGTGTTCGGTATCACTTAAAGGAGTATTCCCGTAACGGTCCTAAGAATGCTAAAGAATTGTTCAATCATCGTCATGCTAGTCTACATAACTCGATTGAAAGATGTTTTGGGGTGGTGAAAAAGAGATTTCCTATTATTGGCACCGGTATGGAGCCACAATATTCTTTCGGCACAACTACCGACATTATCCTAGCTTGTTGTATCATACATAACTTTCTTATGGGAGTCGACCCCGATGAGCAAATAATTGCAGAAGTTGATCGAGAACTCGAGCGGGTGCAAAGGCAAAATGAGCTACAATGTGAAGAGGCAACAAGAGCTGGATTAGAATTACGTGATAGTATAGCAGAACACATGTGGCATGATTATAATATGCAACAAGGTTGACATGTGTTTGTAGCTATGTTATTACTTATATTTACTTGAATGGATGTTATGTACAATTTGTACTACTTATATTTACGTTTGATGTGTTCTAGTACATTATTCCATGTGAGAGGCTTTTGTGCCTTTATTTATGTCTACTTTATTTTTCCCAAGTACTGAAGTACTTGCAATTATGCCTATATCCACTTTCTAGTTGTTTTGACTAATATTCAACTTTTTTTAAAGGAAGCACAATGAGCAAAAGAACAAAAGGGAAGCAGACAATTGTGGGGGAGATATCCACTAAGGAGAACCTACAATGGACAGAGGAGATGGACACTGCTTTGCTGGAAAGTCTACTAGCCGAGCAACGTAAAGGGAACAGGCAAGAGGGCATGTTCACAACTCATGCTTATAACAATGTTGTTATTGCTTTGCGTGGGCTGTTTTCACATAATTTCGACAAGGAGAAAATAAAAAATAGGCAGAAGACATTGAAAAAGCACTTTGCAACTGTGAAAGACTTATTCCATAACATGAGTGGCTTTGCATGGAATCCGGTAACCAAACTTTTTGAAGTTGAACCAGAAGTATGGAAGCAACTAATTCAGGTATATGGTCTATTCTTTTCCGGATTTGCCTTGACTTTTCAATCACATACATATTATTATAATATTCATTATTGTAATGTAGGAGAAGCCGAATGCTAGCAGATGGATTAGGACCCCCATCAACAACTATGACAAACTCTTTGAGTTGTATGGGGAGTTTAGAGCCACCGGAGAAGGAGCTGCAAGTGCATTTGAGAGGATCGAACGTTGGAACATGAGGTCTCCTGCATTCGACATTGATTTGAATAACATGTCAGGAGATGATGAAGGTATGAATGCCTATATTCCATCACCTTTTACACCTCGTGAAGGCACAAATGCATATAGCTCCGATGGTAGATCTTCATTTACTCCTGATCCTCCACCATCAGTCGACTCTCATGGTACTACCTCTTCAAAGGGAACCAAAAGAAAAGCTCCTATGGGAGATGTATCTACCAATCAATTTGAGGTCATGGCTGTCAACATGAGTAGGATGGCATCAGGTATAGAGAAAGGTAATGTGATTGCTGAACGATCTGCCAAGGCTATGGAGAAAGGAAATGAGATTAAAGAGAGGTCTTTGGTGATTCTCGACCATCATAAGACTCACATCTACAAAGAGGGAGAAATTTTCCAAGAATTGCAACGCTATGATGTTCCTGGAGAAATGAGGTTGAATGGCTATAAGTATCTAGCAAAAAATCCGGATACCACAAGTGCTTTATTTGGCTTGCCAGAAGAGTATCGACAACAATTCATTGTTGATTTGGCAAAAAAACAAACCTTCTGGCAAGTTGACTTTTGATGTGGTATAGTAGCATGTTACCTAGTACTAACAGGTTGTCATCTTTAGGACGAACTTATGTAAGTATAGTATTATCAGGTGACCTTATTTTTGGACGGATTATACTATGTATCTCTATTATTAGCAGATGCATTTAGACGGATTTATGCACTTCTAGTATTAGCATGTTACTTAGTACTAACAGGTTGCCTTCTTTTGGACGATTTGATGTAAGTCTAATATTATTATGTGACATTATTTTGGACGTGTTGTATTATGTATGTCTAGTATTAGCGGATACCTTTATTTTGGATGAATGTATGTACTTCTAGCATGTGACCTTATGTTTGAAAAATTACTATTATCCTGTTGCTTTTTGGACAATTTATGTATCTGTAATTTGTTGTATGTTTATATATTTAGTTGCTATGTTATTACTCAATAAAATAATTAACAAAATTTTAGTAATAGATTGACAAATTTCATTCAAATAACCAACTTTTGATTTGTTGTAGTTAACAAAATTAACAAAGAAGAACAAATTTGATCCACATTACATAATTAATGTAAATAGTATAAACACATAATTAAATTATTTAACTATTCTATCATCAATAAAATATAATACATATCACAATTCCCAATCTACTTTTTCCCTCCCACTTTCCCCTCCACTTTCCTCCATTAAACAACATTTTCTTTCCAATTCTCTCTACTTTCCCTCCCTTCCAAACTTAACCTCCCCTCCAAATTTTCCTATCCTCCCCTCCTTTTCCTCCCTTCCTTCGGAAACATAGTGTTAGAGTAGCCAGAGAATAACAAGAAGATGGGCAGCCCAGTAGTTGATTAATTGGATGAATGAAGTCAACAAGTAGAAAGAGGTCATTTTCAGGGCAAATTCAAATTAAAGGGGGCATCCCCACTATCAGCCTCTGAATCCAGGGCTGCTGCATATGAACCATTAGCACTCTGTTGACCTCCTCTAGCAGATCTGGGAAGGAGTCGTAAAAAACCCATACCCAGCAAACGAGAAGGAAAAAAACATCAACCTCCTGACAGAACGCAACTAAAAACTCGACATGCAAAAGATTTTCCATGTTCATATACACTTCTAGTTGGGAGCTAAGGCATACTAGGTTAAAAGAAAGAGAAAGATAGGGGAATCGGTTGAAGATACAATGAAAGGGGGAGCAGTTGACGATTAAAATACGAAAACACACCATAAACTATGGCTCGGTGTTTGATAGATTCATACTAATTAATCTAGAGAGAAGACAAGACGACGCGCGAGGTTTACGTGGTATACTCGATCAATTGATGATCGAGATTAATTCATGGGAGAGTTTAGCCTCTCCGGCTTTCATAATATTGATTGATCGAATTAGGTTACAGTGCCCAGCAGGCTACACTTTTCTTTATATACCTCTTTTTCCTGTTTACCTAGAGCTATACAAGGAATAGTGGCCGAGCAGCTTGGCCTGCGAGGAGATCGAGTTCCAAATGGAAACCAGGACATGGGCCTTAACAAATGTGCAACAATGGGCCTTGGCTTCACTTCACCACCAGCTCGTGAAGCCTCTCCAACACTGTCTAATATACCCCGCAAGTTGAACGGTGGAGGTCATGCACATTCAGCTTGGCAAGCAAAAGCCGAAACCTGTCCGCTCTCAAGCCTTTGGTGAAGATGTCAGTAGAGATAACACGTTCACGGATAAATTATTAGTCCATCTCAACATGCTTAGTCCTCTCGTGGAGGAGTGGGTTGGCAGCAATATGTAGTGCAGCCTGATTATCACAATATAAAGGAGTAGACCGAGTCTAGGGAACACCCAACTCACTGAGTAACCAACGTAACCACAAATTCTCACTCACTGTACTGGCTATGGCACGATATTCTACTTCAGCTGAAGATCGAGCAACAACTTTCTATTGCTTGGTACGCTAGGAGATGGGGACCGAACCCAGATAGATGAAAAACCCACTAGTAGAGCGTCGTGTAGACTGATAACCTCCACAATCTGCATCACAGTGAGTCGTTAGTTCAAGAGAATTATCAACAAGAAAGTACAACCTTGACCAGGAGAGGTCTTCAAATAACGCAGTATACGCATGGCGGCATCCATGGAAGCTTGAGTAGGGGCATGAATAAACCGACTCAGAATATTAACGCCATAAGTAATATCAGGGCGGGAAAATGTGAGATAGAGTAACTGGGTGTCGATAAGATGACCCATCAGCAAGAGGACTGGAAGGCGGCTGGGTCAACTGGTAGTTGTGCTCAACTGGAAACGCACTCGGGCAAGCACCTAATACATCTGCCTCGGCAGGAATATCTAACACATATTTATGCTGACTAACTACGATAACCCGAGGTGAGCGCGCAACCTTTAGCCCCAAGAAATAATGAAAGACCCCAAGATCCTTAATATCGAACTTCTGGTCGAGGAACTGTTTAACATGTTTGATAAATTCCATGTTATTACCGGCCAGAATAACATCATCCACATAGATGAGCGCAACAACAACTATATCCCCTTTCTTGTAGACAAAGAGCAAATGATCTGCAGGTGAAGCGCGGAAACCGAGGTCACCAAAGGACGAGGTAAATTTGCGGTAACAGTTGCGCGAAGCCTGATGGAAACCATGAATGGACTTGTGAAGACGACAAACACAAGTATCACCTTCCCCGACAAACCCGGGAGGTACTTTCATGTAAACTTCCTCTACAAGATCAATATGTAAAGAGGCATTATTGACGTCCAACTGATGTAAAAACCATCCCTGACTGTGAACAAAGTACGAACGGTGACAAGTTTGGCCACCGGAGCAAAGATATCATGATAATCAAGGACTTCAATTTGAGTATAACCCCTCGTTACGAAACGCCTTATACCGTTCAACAGAACTATCGGGTCGATACTTGACCTTGAACACCCAGTTACAATCGATGCAGTGTTTGCCAGGGGGCAGTTGCATAAGACTCCAAGTCTCGTTGGCCACAAGAGCTACTATCTCCTTGGTCATGGCCTCTCTCCAGCATGCGTGACGAATGGCTTGGCGAAAAGAAGTTGGCTCAGGTCTGCAATCAAAGTTGGCCAGAAATGCTTGATACGGAGGTGTCATACGTGCATAGGAGACATGATGCTACAAGAGGTAGCGAACATGAGAAGCAGATTGGAGATCTGTCTCGTAAAAGTCGACGAGATGCTGGGCGGTCGACGTACCCATTCACCTCCACGAGGAACAGGAACAAGGACAGGTGAAGATGAGCCCGCTGAAGCAGGATTAGATGACATCTCTGTTGGGGATGTCTTGACTGCAGCCGAGGAGCTGCTACAAGGAGAAGCCGGTGACGATGGGTTTCCAGCCAAGGAAGGTGGCTGAATCGCATCTAGATTAGGCGTGGCAAGATCGGTTTCATCGTTTTGAAGAGGAACAGGTTGACTGGAGGATCACAATTAATCTCTACATCATCAAGGAATTTCGAGGAGGGAACCCATTGAAAATCACATGGGTCTTGCGCCTGGTAAGGAAAATACTCTTCATGAAATATCACATCCCGCGATACGATAATTTTGCGGTAAACTAGATAAAAAACTTCGTAACCTTTTTTTAATAATGGCGACATTTTTAATAGAACAAAAAACTGCAAAGTGTACAAGGATCAAGAGACATAATTTGGAGAAGCAAATAGAAAGGTAAAAAAAAAAAAACAGGGACAACAACAAGTGTCAGTCGAAACATTCACACTAAATGGACTATAACCACCCCTATGTGTTGTGTGACAAAAGAAAAGCCAACCAAAGCAAATCAGGGGAAACACCCTGAGTGGAGACACAAAATACAAGCGGAACAAGAAGGAAAAAGGACAAGCAAAACCACGCCCACAAACCACTTCGGTTCACCCCAACTGACACAGACAACAGACCAAGGAACCAAACCCAAAAAACAGATCCCAAATCTCTTAAAACCTGGCCACTAAGTCTCTTAACCAACGAAATCCAGCATCTGTATGTATTAACCCATTGACACTCATACATTCCAACGCTTGTCTTGCTGCTTTCTTCGCCACAATTGAAGATGTAAGATTCTTCTCCTCGAAAACTCTCGGATTTCTTTCGAGACACAACTACGACTAGATAGCATGGAGCCTGCAACGATTAAACCAGTCTTCAACTCCATCCCCATCCGTATCGGGCCAGCTAGAGATGATATTAGAAATACCACCAATATGACACACGAAAAACGTCCCTCTGTTGTACACTTTCCTCCAAACCTCTCTAACAAGGCAACAATCCACGAGCAAATGCTTAGGAGATTCTTCATTCACAAGACAAAGGCAGCATCTGTTAGCCAACGCCAAACCTTGCCTCTTCATATTGTCTGGTGTCAAAATCCTTTTATGAAAGACAAGTCATACAAAGAAATAGATTTTGCTCGGAATCCACGACTTCCAAATTTTCTCAGAAGGGAAATCATGGACACCACTGAATTCCCCATCAACCAATCTTCTATACAAAGAATTAACTGAAAACTTTGCATTTTCTTCCAGATTCTACTTTAACCTCTGCAAGGACTATAAACATTTTCCGAGATATCAATAGATCCCAATAAGTTGTATAACTCTCTCCATTCTCTCTCTGCCTCACCCCTTAAGTTAAATTTGAAATTCACATTCCAGCTTACTACCTCACCATTAAAAGATGCAACATCGGACACCAAAGCTTTATGGTCAACGGCAGCCACAACAGCACGGGGGAATGAGGCAACAAGCACCTTATCTGAGATCCAACAATCATGCCAGAACGAAACCAAAGCTCCATTAACAGGCTCCAAACACACAAACTTCCATAACAAGTCATACCCTTGCTGATATTCGCCCATACAGATTTAGCGAAACCATTTTGTGCACGCTTCGTCTGCCAAACGGACAATGTATTTGGATATTTGCAACTGATTAACTCCCGCCACCAACTAGCCCATTCAACTGTAAATCTCCACACCCACTTAGTAAATAAGGCATTGTTAAAACTTTTCAAATCATGAATACCAAGTCCTCCATCCTTTTTCGCCGCTTTACACAACCTCTAATCAACAAGAGCCAATTTGTTACTTTCCGCCTTTCCACTATACAAGAAGTTTCTTTGATACTTTTCGAGCTCTTTGACAATTGAAACAGGAGGTTTGAACAAAAACAACAGATAAGTCGGGCTGCTCTCGAGAACATACTTGATGAGCACCATTCTTGCCCCATAAGACAGGTTTTCACTTCCCCACCCACTTAGTCTCTTCTGGTATTTCTCAATCACGCCATCCCAAATCGCTTTCTCATTTGGTTTAGCCACAAGAGGAAATCCGAGATACTTATGGGGATCTGAACTCCACTAACATCCAAAGATATCCACAAAAAACTTGGTTCTGCAACGTCACCCACCGTATGCATCACGGACTTATCCAAATTAATTCTCAGCCCAGTCACAGGTTGAAAACAAAAAGAGTAGAAGGAAGGTTCAAACCTTATCGTGTTTTGCATCGCAGAAGATAAGAGTATTATCTGCAAAGAGCAGATGTGTAACTTCCCCCTGTTTGCTCTCCTCGTTCATGAAGAACCCTTCAGACCCCCCCCCCCCCCCCCCCCCCCCCCCCCAATCCTCTCCAACACGTCCCAACATCCTTGACAGAACTTCTATAACCATAACAAAAAGTCCCATGGATAGACGATCCCCTTGCCGCAGACCTTTCGAGACCTCGAAAAACCCTTTTGCCTCTTCATTAACCTAAATCGAAATGATCAAAGAGCACATTGATCCCTTAACCCACCTTCTCTAACTATCCGGAAAACTCACAGCTTATATACTTTTCAAAAGGCATCCCCAATTCACATTATCGAATGCTTTATCTATATCTAGTTTAAACATAAGCCTTGCCCTCCTACTCTTATGTCTGCTATCAACAAGTTCATTAGCCAATAAACCTCCCTCCGAAATCTGCGTACCATGAACCGAAGAGTGTTGCTGCCGCGAGATGAGTTTTGGAAGCACCAAGCCCAATCTTCTGGATAGCACCTTGTTAACCAGTTTATTAAAACTCCCAATCATATTGATTAGACGAAGATCGTTAAATTCTTCCACAACATCATTCTTGGGCACCAAACACACAAAACTCCCTGCCTCATAGAATTCTTTGAATGCCTTCAATATCTCTCCCTTCAGCAAACTTTACCCTTTCTTGAAAAAAATCCAACGTGAACCCGTTTGGACCGGGCGCTGTGCTACCATCACTCTTTAATACTTTCCCAGATTTCCTCCTCCGAAAACGGCCCTTCCATCCACTCACGCCTTAACACAGACAATTGCAGCTCCCAATTCCAACTAGGGAAAGGCCAGATGACAATACTCTCCTTAAAGGCTTCCTGAAAAGCCCGAACAATCCCCACAACAATCTCTTCCTCTCCTTCCACCATCCTGCCATCCCATCTGATTCAGTCAATTCTATTCACCATCCTCCTATAGTTAGCTATCCTATGGAAGTAACCCAAATTTCTGTCACCAAATTTAACACAAATTTCTCTCGACTTCTGTCTCCAACATATCTCTTATAAGATCATAGTCCTGTTTAGTTCAAAATCCATCTTCGCCCATTCTTCCTTTTCCGATTCTGTCAGTTGCCGAACTTCCTCAACTTCATCTAGCAACTTAATCTTTCTTAACAGCTCTCCTACCTTATTATCAATATTTCCAAAAACATCTTTATTCAAGATCTTCAATTTTGCTTTGATTAGGAGAAGTCTTCTTGCAAGTAAAAACACAGCTCCTTTTCCCTGTAATCTCTCGGACATCCACGAACCCAATTCCTAATAAAATCGATCATCTTCCATCCACGTGTTCAGAAATTGCCAATGCCTTTTAAGACTCTTATTCTCTCCCCACTTTAAAACCAAGAGATTATGATCTGAGACCACTCTCTCCATAGCCGTCAACGAACAATCAGGAAAAAGAACGTCGAAATTATGCAAAACATGAAACCTATCAATCCTTGAGAGAGAAGAACTATTCGAACCATGATTCCAAGTGGCTGCATATCCAAGATAAACTCCCGCTCGCCCCCATTCGGCAAACTTGTGTAGCTCATTATGGTTGTCCTTCGCATTTACTAGACAACCAAATACACGCAAGTGCGAATACGATGTCGGATGACCAAACAAGACTTCGAAGGGCGTTTTGCCCGTTCTTGTTGTGGGTAACCTGTTGTTGAGATTAGTAGAGTGAGGACGCACTCAACATAGAAATGAAGCGCTAAACCGGAGTGCACACGCAGTTTCTAGAATGTGCCTATGGTTGCGTTCTTCAACCCCATTCTGTTGCATAGTATCAATGCAGCTGGTTTTTAAGATAATCTCGGACTTCTCATAGTACTCTCGCAAAGCATTAGTGGCAAATTCTGGACAATTGTCAGCCTGAATCCTGATAACCTGCTTACCAAACTGAGTTTGCGCCATTTCACAAACATGACAATATGCCTAGCAACTTCAGACTTAAAACTTTATCAAATAAACCCACACATTGCGACTAAAATCATCAACGACTGTCAAGAATAATGTGCTCCACTAGTCGAAGCAATCTGATATCCACCCCATATATCCATATGCATCAACTAAAAACAATCTGAAATTTTGATATGACTAGAAGGACCCTGAGACTACTCATCTGAAAATGAAAGAAATTGACTGAGCTGCAAGACCTTGGCTGGTGCCGGATGGCCGAGCCTACTATGCCATACTCCCTCCGAAACTAGTCACCCACCATGTGTCGCAAACGCCAAACTATCGTTGCTCCCAAATAACTTCAAATAATATAATCCTTCACAGAGAATCCCTTTCCCAATCACGTTCTTGGAGCGTAAGTACTTAAGTTTACACAAATCCCGCATAAAAATGAGAGCTACAATATTGTCCTTGGTTAGACAACTGACAGACAATAGGTTGCATCGAAATTCTGGTACATGCAGAACTCGATCCAGCTATAAACCTGTAGACAAAGGGACTGATCCAACATTCTTGCCTGGAATGCTGTCACCATTATGTATTTTAATGGGTTTACTAGTTTGCCCAAGACTATCATGATTTAACCAATGCGCATCTTTCGTGATTGAAACATCCCACCTCTTTGAATTTGGAAAAAGACATTTCTACCCCGGGGTATAATTAAAAATCTCAAATACACAACTTTAAATAAAATACCGAACTAAAATATCTCAATATCTCAAATCGAAGCCCTAAACACGTGGGCAAAACTCAAATTGTCCAAAAAAAATGAATCTCTAATCTTTAACTCTTAACCATAAAGTCTGAATAACTTAAAAGAAAGTTCTCTGATGCTTACTCT